ACTAAAACTTCACTGAGAAGCTAATTTTACGAGGTAACCAGGTCCAATGAAGACCTAGAATTCTCAATAAAACTACTCTAAGCTGTCAAGGCATTGATTTTCTACGTATATTTGAAACATAATATCATAAAAATTCTCCCAAGCAAGACTATTATTATAAATTCTCATTTAGTTAGTTCTCTGAGCTAATTAAGCTGTTAAAACACAATAACTAGAAGGATTCTGAAAAAATGATCATATTCTCTTAAAGATGGGTTTAAACAAGGAAAGCCAATTGATCAACTCACTCGAATAAAAAAAAAAAGTTGAACCAGGCTGAAGTCTTTAAGCCAATTGAATTCAACTGAGTTGATCAATGACTTGCCTTGTCTAAACCCAGCTTAACTATTTACCATTCTTGCACTTACTTAAAGGCGCTCCAATGCGCTCAAGGGATTGATTATTGCTGGACACAGCTGGATCGAGCAGACGCACCAATCTACTCGAAGGTTAAATTTCGTCCACTTTTCAAGAGACGCAAATACCCATTAGCAGCTTAATTTTTTGCAATAACTAACCGCTTCTACACAGCAAAAAAATGATATCACATCAAAGTCGCTGCACTTCAATCGTGTCAAAAATATGGTGTAATATAACTTGTCAAAAGGACAAAACTAACATTAATACAGTGCATGAACTGGCATTACGCTGCTTTTACTGCATTTGTTTATTTTTGTGGCCATAAAAATTACATGACATTTTCGACAAGATTGTAGTGCATCCTCTTGGATGTAATATTAAAATTTATATTTTGCTGTGTAGGCTAGTATGGTGACATTTTCCCCAAAATATTGAGCTGTTGAGTAATCAAATACCACCCGTCGTTTAAAGACCAAAATCAATGATAATTAATGATTTCTAGATTATACCCAAATACCATGTTTATCTTTTTCATCATTTGTGTTTCACATTTGTGATTTTTATACTGAGAAAGCTGTTGTGAAAATTACTTGTAATAAGACTAGAACTGGGACCTTCTGAAACCAGGGTTACTTCCACTCACTTGCTATAAAAAAAAGTTTTTCGGAATTATAAAACCATGAAATAGTATAATGCTAATAAGTACTAGTAAGTAACAAGAAGAGGGTGTAAAGTATATGTTTGACACATAAAATCTGTCAATATTGCTTTCAGTGCGTCACAATCAGCGATTTTACGACTCGTGAGCGCTCACTCTGAGTGAACGCTCACGAATCATAAGATCGCTTATTATGACGCTCTGAAAGCGAAATTGACAGGTTTTATGACCCTCTTCTTGTAACTTACTAGTACAACATATCATTATAACATCTAATGATTGCATAATTCCAAAAAATATTTTTTTATAGCAAGTGAGTGGAAGCAACCCTGTCTGAAACAACAATAATCTGCCTGCAACCAGTGTTGATAACTTTTCCAGCAGTTCGATCCGTAGATAGGTAAAAGTGTTCCCACTGCATTAATTATCGATTAATCTAATAACCAATTTTGAAAAACCGTCATTCAAAAATCTAAGACTTTTTAAGCCAAAATTTGAAGAATCGGTGGGATATCTTTCGCACAGTGAATTTTATAGCAATGAAAGATTATATTGGCTCATTTTTCTATGCGTTACTTCCACCTTTGCTACTGTATACCGTGGACTTTCGGTAATCTGACCGTTTTTAATCTGAACACTTTTTAATTTGAACCCCGTAAATTTGCGCTTGCACGGCACTAGAAATGGTTCAAACGAAAATGGAACGAAGTAAAGCGAAATAGAACATTGTGAAGCGGAACGCAGAATCAAAACAAAACAGCAAAGGAGGCTACCAGAAAGACGATTTTCTTATCTAGCTATATAGGGTAATTGATTCTGGTTGGACCTATCCAAAAACTGATGATGGTTGAACCTATTTTTTCAATCGCTAGTTTAGTCAATCTTCGCTAATTTTTTTTTTTTTGAAGATCACTTTACTATTATAAAAAAAACTCATTTTCTTCAATTTGCATGGATGTTTTATTGAAAAAACTTCAAAACAATTGAGTTTCAATGTGTTTTCAAAACAGTTCACTTTCCACGCATTAGCTCGTCATTATGCCTTACTTTCAAACATACAAAAAAGGAATATTTTTTACATTTATTTTTATTTTCAAGCAGGAAAATACTGCTTCAAGGTGTAAACAACACGTTAGTAGGCCATTTATCCATTGGTTTCACTAAAATGTTTGAATAATTGACGAAATTCGAATAGATAAATATGATCATGGTTGGACCTACGGATGATGATGGTTGGACCTATGTGTTTCCTAAGACGGCCGCTAGGTGCGCTTCGGTTTGTCTACATCCTTCACGCGCAGCTGATTTGAAATTCGATTTCGTTTTGGCCGAGTGATCAGTTTCTTCGAATGAAAAAATTGCTGATACGGTCGAAAATCTTCAAGAGGCTGTTCTTTTAGTAAGAAATAAATCACTTACCGCGTACCAGGCACAGAAAAGGTACAATATTCCGAAAACGACACTTCACGCAAAAATTAAGGGAAGCCACGGCAAGAAATATGGAAGGGAAATAGTGTTGAGTGTTGATTTGGAGAACCAGTTAGGGGATTGGGTTTGTATGTGCGCTGCTTCTGGCAGTCCCAAGACGACCAAAAAGATCTTGGAAGCTGTTAAAGACCTTGCGTCACTAGTTGGGCGTAAATTTAAAGGAGGAATTCCATCGTCAGGTTGGCTGAAAGGGTAACCACCGATTTCCGAACTACCACAAAAGCGCCGAAAGAATCTGTTAATATGAATTTACATTAAGCACCTCTCATACACCTTCTGTGTGTGAATTAACTTGAAATAAAATGTTAACAAACTAAAAATTGCTAACTGAAATTTATTTCCGAAAAAAAAACTCCTAGGAGAAAAAAAACTATAAAACCGGAATTAAGTTCTGATATTCTGTCATTTTAAGCCCCTAAATTCCCCGGGGGCACCCAGAACATGCCCGGAAGTGGCCAATGTGGTCCGAGGCACTCAATTTTGTTATTGATCTTGTTATCGAATTTGGAAGCAATGTGAAGTGTCACATGATGGGTTTTATTCCTTCCATGTCAAAATTAGGTCCATGTTCCATATACCCTGGAACTTATTCCGACCATATCTCCGGAACCAATTGACCGGTTCCAAAAATATTCGATAGCTTTCAATGGGACCACAATACCTATAGTTTGACGTTAAAAATTTCCAAATCGGGTCAATGATTTCCGAGAAAATGAGCCATGATGAATAGCTAATGCGTGGAAAGTGAATTTTTTTAAAAACGAAGTTAAACTCAAATTTCTTATTTTTTTTAAATAGCATATTCATAAAAACTGTATAAAAAGGGGTTTTTCATGATACCAATAAGCTCTAAACAAAGTTTTTGAACAAATATGGGCTAAACTAGCATTTGCAAAAATAGGTCCAACCATCATCATTTTTTAGGTCCAACCAAGATCAGTATAGGTCCAACCAACATCATAATTCTTTGCTGAATAAAAACGTTTTATAAAATCATTTGTTCATAATATTTAACTTTTTATGTTATTATTAGAAACAAGAAAGGTAGATCTTTCACCTAATCACGCATTTTTCATAATTATATGTTGAATTCATAAAAAAATACGACATGAATGTTGACGTCGTGTGAAACCGGCCTAAATAGGTCCAACCATCATCAGTTACCCTAGTTAATTGAAATGGAGTGGCGCTCATCTAGAATTTGTTTAACTGGTTCTCTTTAACAGGTGCTCAATGGCGGTACGCAGTTAGCGAAGTAAAATGTGAATTATAGCTATACAAATTAACAGGGTTATACGGTACGTTCTTTTCCAAATATATACCGTTCTTCGCTGACCGATGACATTAAGGTGAAAGGGGACGCCAATAATTTAAAAAATCATAAGCAGTTTTTGCGATCAAAACCAAAATTTCGTTCGTGAAAATGTACTTACCAACCACAACACAGTAAACATATTTTAATTGACAGAATTTAGGATATAAACGAAAAAACTGTCTTTGAATTTCAAAAATTAATGACGTCCCCTCTCCTCCTTAAAGAAGTATCGTGCGCCTGATTTTAAGTATTCAACCATCAATTCCTAAATTAACATAATTTTAATCTGGTTAACAACGATAAATTCTAGGATTGAACCCAGACCTATTGGGGTGAGAAAGCAGTTACGCTTACCACTACACCACCGGCGCTGGCTTCAACTGACATATCTGGCCAGCAAACCTATTTTCCATATGTTTGTCATAATGTTGCTGTTTTAAAATCCAAAGCATAAAAGTTTAGTGATATTTAGAAAAATCCGATACAATTATGAAGCAATTTAAAAAAAGCATATTATTCCACATTCCGTCACAATTTTGAACACAATTATAAAAAAAAGCATATTTTTTCTAAATGTCTAACCTTTTTCATTGAATTCTTTCAATTTTAAATCATCTTTTTAGAAAGCTCTGGCTAAGTATTGGGGTTGGAAATTTCATCTTAGTGATCAAATTCACCATGATACGGTTCCATTTTTCCAAGGGATCAATCTTCTTTACAGTTTGATACACTTCAGATGTTTGACTTATCGAACCATTTCTATGCATAGTATATAATATCCATTTCAACATGCACGCACACAATACATGTGTTCGTAAACCTTTTTGTCACCCCAGACGGGCGTCCCCAGGGACCTTCCAATGTCAAACCAGCCAACAGAAGGAAACCTCAGCAAAACATGCACGGAATGCAGCACTCCGGTCACACGTTATGACTAATAATTCAAAGTGTCACCCACCAGCCACCATCTGTGTGAGTGCCGTGTCGTGTGTGGGTTAATTTACCTAAACCGCAAAGGAACAGTGTGATTGTCCCCAGATCGCCTGCCTGGTGGTTTAACTCCCCTTCCTCCCCCAAACATTTCTGAGCTGACTTCTGAGGAACTGGATGAGAGTGAATTGAAAAGCGCAAAAAACTTACCCGATTGCATTCCAATGCGGCCGCACTGTGCTCCTCGCGCTGGCGAAAACAGTGAGTACATTTGCTCTTGTTAAAGATGTTTGGTGAAAATTTACGACACTCCACGTTGCGGCTACCCATCGTTTCGAATTTTCTCCACTCCAATCCAGAGGAAAAAAAAAACAATGCTCACACTCACAAAAAATCAAAAATATTTCCTTTACTTCGATTCCACTTCGATTGGAATCTCTTCACTTGGAAACCTCACCGCTGGATCTCCGACAGCATCAAAACAAAACTCAGAAAAACTACACGATCGAGAGTAAAATTAAACTTCACTTAACCGAAATTGAAAATTTTTCGTCGTCCCCAAATATCGACGTTCAAATCCAATGGAAACACATTTTTTCAATCACTGTTTATGCTCGAGCTCACTCGCAACACACACATATAAATCGAAACATTTAAGCTGTTGTCGAAAACAAAATAACATAACGAAACCGAGGAATAAGGAAAATTAATCCAAAGCTTCGTGTTTCCTTTCCTGGGTCTTTCTTCCCAGTCTTAAAAAAAACTGGCTATTTTGCTCCTTTCTGTTTTGTTTTCTTCTCGTTTGCCTCGAAATCAATCGATAAATGTGAAATCTAATTATTGTAACACTTCAAACACCTGTACGAATAGAAATTTGTAGTACTGCATTCACCAGTAGAGATTCTACAAACTCACTTCTATTCAATCAACAATACAATTACATCAACTTTTTGCTGTGATTCAAACTTGGCCGCACAAAACCTTCGTTAAGGCCAGTTTACCGCACTTGTTGTTACGCCTCGACTTGTTTCAATCTCCTCTACCTTCTACTTTCCTTCTCTTCAGCTGTATCTGGCGCTCGCGCAAACCTTAACCACTTCTAAAACATACAAACATTTACTTATTTTTCTGCTAACTTCAATTCACACAACCTCACACTGCACGAGGTTCCGGGGATAGCCAGTGTACCAAAACACTCTACTTGACAGCTTTCTAATGAATATTAGCTGTCAAAATCGTACAAAACTTGATCCTCCATCATGGGACAGCTATAGCCACATCATTAATTCATTAGAAATCGCTCGCGCACCTTGCCTCACCAGCGCAAATGAACTATGCGGCGATATTATCTCGTTTTTCACCTTCCTGCCACTCCGTTTCAATGGACATTTCTTCACTCGTTCACTCCGGTTTACCTAACGACTCGCCAAATCGTCAGCGCATTGCCATCTCCCATACGTACGCAGCCACTACTAGCACAATCGCAGTAGGCCCTAACAGCCACCGAAAAAAAGCACAGGCACCTTCGCCCAAAGCAGGCCTTAAACCTGTTGCGCACCGTGCGCTCACTCAAAACTGCTTGCGTGTGAATATGTTAATTTTTCTGACGTTTCCACACCACTAAAATTCACCGTCCGTCCATCCAACTCGGCAGTGATCGCAATCCAGCGAAAAAAATGTCACCAGATTCTCTTCTCATTCATTCCAATGCTGAACCATTTTCAAACCGGGTGTGATTCAACCCAAAATTCCACATTCACCTGATCACACACCTTGATCTACTCGCTACACCACAAGAGCTTGCATATTCTTAACCGTTCGTTCGTATTTGTCGAATGTTTCGCTCGAAATGAATTGTTTATTTACACAAATTCCACAGCGAATGTACTGCAAAGTTCCTATCCACTAGTGCCTTCTTAAAAACGCGCTAAACACAAACAAAAAAAAAACACCTCCCGACTGAAACGAGTGTTTACAAGATCACCGACGTTTCACAACTAACGCAAAGTCGTCGTACGCTAGGAAACATGCCCCATGGAAACCTTACGACAGCAATCATAGTACGCATACAAGCTCATGCATCGCTAGTGCGCTCTCTCGTTTTCACGTAAATATTGCACAAATTCTCTCAACGGCTTCCTTGGCACTCTCTCATTTTGTCTCTTTTCCAAAGCACACGGCCCACGGGGTGGTTAATGATGACAACGCAATCTCCAAAGAGAATAGTACCTATCGATGGCTAATGACAGTGGCACAAGTGTATGTGCAAAGGAATGCTTTGGAAACTATCCACCACACTGATGATTGTGTGTAGGAGAGAGAGCTAGTGAATGCATGCCATGGAGAACAGAGTTCCTGAGTTTGAGGTGAATAAATCGAAAAATAAATAAATAAATAAAGCGATGGTTTTTAGCCGAGACTCATGTATGTTGATTGACTTTTCACAGTAGTATGATGAGTGGAAACTTGTATGCGAGAAATTAAAAGTAGTTCAACAGGTACTAGCTCTTTAGAGAAGCAGGTGCAAAGCAAGTTTAGTCTATGTCACAATATCAAATATACTTAGAACTTCATTCAAAAACCGTCGCAAAATACGAATGACAAGTCGCTCGGTTCGGCATTTGTGAGTAAAAGCGATGTCTCCACACGCTATCTTGAATTACCTATTAATGAGAAAAATTTCACCTATTTAGAATTATTGTTATTTAATAAGCAATTTACCGATTAATGAGTTAAGCCACTTTTTTTTAAATGGGATAAATTTACACATTAATAAGTACTTTCAAGTTAGCGTTCACAGCACATGCATTAATATATATTTATGGCGTAACGAACAGTATTGACACAAATATTGTCAATGTGATTGATGGAAGTATCGACAATGCAATTATTGTCAATTATATTTATACATGTGGGGTCCGCTTAAGGTCCGCTTCGATAAACGTTGATTAAAAGTGTTTCTCGTTACTAGATTAATAATGTATGGTCCCCGATGGTGATCGCTGGACTATAGTCGAAAAGTACACGCAAACCAAAAATGTATTACAATGTTAGTTCCATTTCCGATCATCCTCTGGTCATGAACATCACAGCGAATGTTAGAAGTTGACCTTGCAGTATATTTAATGATTTTTTTGTCTTTTTTATTTCGTGTTTTATCTACGCTTTAGACTATACCAGTAAGTTTTTTTTTATTTATAACATTGTAGAACGACGCACACACTTGCCTCGAATCTCTCCAGCAGAAAAAGCATACGAAGTCGCGTATGAGAGGAAATGAGCGCTTCGTGCTTGCTTTTAAGGCTAATCATATTCAGTAGCATGGAGAGAGCTGTGTATAAAGCACATGTCCGATAATCGCAACGTTCGTGGTTCGAGTCCAATCGGCAACTTTTTTCTATTTTTTTTCGACAAAATTAATTTCACTCACTAATATACTCCACATTTTTCGGTCTCCAATTTTCTTGCATTGGACCGCAGCTTGGTATATCGCATCCTCGGTTCATGCGGTCTCCACTAATATCTTCTGATGATGAATCCCACATAATTGTAAGCGAACACCCAACCGGGGGATGTAAGATTCGCTTACAATTATGTGGATTCATAATCAGTGGATGTTAGTGGAGACCGCATGAACCGAGAATGTGATATACCTAGCTGCGGTCCAATGCAAGAAAATTGGAGATCGAAAAATGTGGAGTGTAATAGCAACAATCAATACGAAACTAACGATTTTAAATTGGCTCACCACTTTAGTAGCCTATTGGTCCCAAGCAAACGATTAACGTACCCTATTCTAGTTGAAATTCTATTACTACACTATGTTTGTTTTGATTCGCTATGAAAGTTTGACAGATAACATCAGGGGTGTGTGGATTCATGCAGAACATGCAGGGGTGAGTGAAATAGCTTGGGACTGCTTGGGACCGTTGTTCTGGTACTGAGTGAGCCAAAAATAATAATGATTTTCTTCGGGACCCAGTGGTCTTAGAGTTACCTCTATGGTAATAGTGAGTAAAATTATTTATGTTGAAAAAAAAATAGGATAAAGGTTGCCGACTAATCGAACCACGAACGTGGCGATTATCAGACTTGTGCTTTCTCCACTGCTCTTTCCATGCTCTTGAATATGGATAGCCTAAGAGCAAACAAGAAGCGGTCATTTCCTCTCATACTCGACTTCGTATGCTTTTCCTGCTGGAGAGATTCGAGGCAAGTGTGTGCGTCGTTCTACAATGTTTTAAATAAAAAGCTTATTGGTATAGTCCTCTCCAGGCGGGTTCGTATTGGTGCGATTTGCGTGTGTTAGTGAGATGAAATTTTTTGTTAGCTGTGAGAAATTTTTTGTTTGCTGTAAGAACTGTCATTCTACAGTAAAAATAAACAACAAAACGAAAACAAAACCCTACGCTTACACGGTAACAGTCAAGTACCCTTTTGTGAGTAAAGGTTAACCCATTTTTGATAAAGGTGGCTTTACTCATTAATGAGTAAATTATTTTAACAACAATGAGTTTCTACTAACAGTAGCTAACAGTTACTAATTAATTGGTATAATGAATTACTCATTAATTAGTGGTGCCGCTTTTATTGACACTTTTACTCATAAATGGATGTTTGATTCTTACCGTGCACATGACAGTATACGCTCGTGTGTGTAACATTATGTAATTAGTGTAGTGTTCGTGAAATCCTGCTTGGAGAACTCAATAGTCGAAAGCATAGATAGAACACGAAATAAAAAAGACAAAAAACCATTACATCGTCTGCAAGGTCAATTTCTAACATTCGCTGTGATGTTCATGAACAGAGGATGATAGGAAATGGAACTAACATTCATTGTAATAAATTTGTGGTTTACGTGTGGAACTTCATGAACCAGTTCCATGAAATCGTATACTGTTTTGTTGCACACCGGGACCTTAACACACGACACCACAGAACCGGAACATAAATTTGTCAGTGTGCTATTTTTCTTCACTCTAGTAAAACGTTCATAACGTTGCACTACATTCCATGTTGGGAGAGTTGTTCTTACTTCATGCTAATTGAACGTTCTTACTTCATGCTAAGTGAACAGTTCCATTTCAAATGATTTTTTTTTTAATTTTTTGATCGACCTTCTACGATTATGTTGAAACTTAACACAGTTGTTTGTTATTGTCCAACATGCCATTTTACATGTTTGGCTCCCTAGTTTTGTACACGACTAATACTTGAAAAGGGCTTATGCAAAAATAATACGCATCAATAGAAAAACATATATCTTGCGAACGATTTGTTTGATTGAGATGGTGTCTTAGAAGAAGATGCGGACAAGTATTGTGCCTTCAAGAAAAAATATACACTGTTGAACATTATTTTTTTCTTACAATTTTCTTTTATTATCTTTTTTTTTTGTAGTGATCCAGTGGCAGCAACTTGCACTGGACCCCTTTTATTGATAAATTTTGCTTCTATGAGCCTCTATTTTAAATCAACACACAGACGTTCCTAGGCTATGGTGCCCGTTTGGTCACTGTTGTTTTTGTGCTGATCCAAATAGTTTTGATAATATAATTGCGCATTCTTTTTTTTTTAAGGTTGATTTTGTCCCAGTCTTGTCTTCTGTCGTCACTTATTTTGTCATTTTGTCTTGTGTATTAACCCCCACTAGTCTTGTTTATTGTGTCAACTTGTGTCTATTGTCCTTCCCCATCTGTTACTCTGTCATGACTAATTTCATTGATATGTAAAAATAGTAATATCAATTACAGGATAATATGGTTATTTCTCGATTACTTTTTCAAAGGGAAGCACCAGCTCCTGCAAACAATGCATCCGATCGTCGATCCGGCGCAACCGGCAGCTCGCACACGCTTATCAACACCACCAGCAGGTAGAGGAAAATTTCTTCTATCTGATGATAGCGCCAGCACGCGCGGGCGAGTCACCAGTTACGCCAAATCGACGTCCAAACGCACCGCCTACAAAAGCCGATACGCTCCCTTGAAAAAGTTATCGAGATTTCTACTAATTAATGAATTATTGACAATTACCTCTCATGATCCTTGGCTCTGATTTTAACTTACCACTTTTTGATTATTTATCAAATACCTCTTCCAGAATATATAACTCCCCGATGCCTTGTTGGTTTCTGGTCTCATTTGGATTGGTCCTGAATTTGTTTGACATCCTGTTCGAAGTAATTCTTTGTGTGTCTCACGTCATATGATTCGCCATTCATAAAGATAATGGGTTAAAATGGAGTAAAACATACATAAAAGTAGATTAGTATTAGTTGTACTTGATCTAAACAATAGAAAGAAGCATAGATGACTTAGTAGAAAAATAAAACTAATATATAACTAAAAGTGCAATGGATAAGTGTTAGTTCCGGGATCATTTTAGTGTTAGTAGTTATGTTAGTTTTGATCCGTATTCAGCCCTGCCGGCCCCTCCAGCACTATTTGCAGCAATTGTGATAAGATTATGCGACACTGCTACTACTACTATGTTAGATGTATGACTTGTCAATTTTCGCAACGCAATGTCTTTCAATAAATCACTCAATCAATTTGATGTTTGAAAATTTGCTCAAAAGGGCTTTGTTGACACATCATACCTTACCGAAAACTAAAGCACAACAATCCTAATTCTTATTTCAAACCTATCAACATATTTAACACATCTTTCCTAAAACTTCACTTGTTCGTAAGCGCCTGGTTGAAGATATGACTTTCGCTATTGACATTGTCTGTAATTAACAAATACACTAAATAGGAAGATTTATTATACAACTTCATAGGCTAGTCACCTCCCTAAGCGGACCCCCCGCGTCCTATCTCTTATGTTAATTAACTTTCTGAATTCTATAATTGAAGTTTATTTAATAAATAACTAAAATCTCTAATCTACCTACTCAATCATAACCCATGCTTTTAAACTAAAATTTCACGTGTTTCAAGTACTTCTGGCTTTTACATATATTAATTATATCTTTG